GGAGATAGAGACACAAAAAACCCTCCAAAAAATCAATGAATCCAGGAGTTGGTTTTTTGAAAAGATCAACAAAATTGACAGACCCCTAGCAAGACTAATAAAGAAGAAAAGAGAGAAGAATCAAATAGACGCAATAAAAAATGATAAAGGGATATCACCACCGACCCCACAGAAATACAAACTACATCAAAGAATACTATAAACACCTCTACGCAAATAAACTAGAAATCTAGAAGAAATGGATAATTCCTGGACACTTACACTCTTCCAAGACTAAACCAGGAAGAAGTTGAATCCCTGAATAGACCAATAGCAGGCTCTGAAATTGAGGCAATAATTAATAGCCTACCAACCAAAAAAAGTCCAGGACCAGATGGATTCACAGAAGAATTCTACCAGAGGTACAAGGAGGAGCTGGTATCATTCCTTCTGAAACTATTCCAATCAATAGAAAAAGAGGGAATCCTCCCTAACTCATTTTATGAGGCCAACATCATCCTGATACCAAAGCCTGGCAGAGACACAAGAAAAAAAGAGAATTTTAGACCAATATCCCTGATGAACATCGATGCAAAAATCCTCAATAAAATACTGGCAAACCGGATTCAGCAGCACATCAAAAAGCTTATCCACCATGATAAAGTGGGCTTCATCCCTGGAATGCAAGGCTGGTTCAACATGCGCAAATCAATAAACATAATCCAGCATATAAACAGAACCAAAGACAAAAACCACATGATTATCTCAATAGATGCAGAAAAGGCTTTTGACAAAATTCAACAGCCCTTCATGCTAAAAACGCTCAATAAATTCGGTATTGATGGAACGTACCTCAAAATAATAAGAGCTATTTACACAAACTCACAGCCAATATCATACTGAATGGGCAAAAACTGGAAAAATTCCCTTTGAAAACTGGCACAAGACAGGGATGCCCTCTCTCACCACTCCTATTCAACATAGTGTTGGAAGTCCTGGCTAGGGCAATCAGGCAAGAGAAAGAAATCAAGGGTATTCAGTTAGGAAAAGAAGAAGTCAAATTGTCCCTCTTTGCAGATGACATGATTGTATATTTAGAAAACCCCATTGTCTCAGCCCAAAATCTCCTTAAGCTGATAAGCAACTTCAGCAAAGTCTCAGGATACAAAATTAATGTGCAAAAATCACAAGCATTCTTATACACCAGTAACAGACAAACAGAGAGCCAAATCATGAATGAACTTCCATTCACAATTGCTTCAAAGAGAATAAAATACCTAGGAATCCAACTTACAAGGGATGTAAAGGACCTCTTCAAGGAGAACTACAAACCACTGCTCAGTGAAATAAAAGAGGACACAAACAAATGGAAGAACATACCATGCTCATGGATAGGAAGAATCAATATCATGAAAATGGCCACACTGCCCAAGGTAATTTATAGATTCAATGCCATCCCCATCAAGCTACCAATGAGTTTCTTCACAGAATTGGAAAAAACTGCTTTAAAGTTCATATGGAACCAAAAAAGAGCCCGCATCTCCAAGACAATCCTAAGTCAAAAGAACAAAGCTGGAGGCGTCACGCTACCTGACTTCAAACTATACTACAAGGCTACAGTAACTAAAACAGCATGGTACTGGTACCAAAACAGAGATATAGACCAATGGAACAGAACAGAGTCCTCAAAAATAATACCACACATCTACAGCCATCTGATCTTTGACAAACCTGAGAGAAACAAGAAATGGGGAAAGGATTCCCTATTTAATAAATGGTGCTGGGAAAATTGGCTAGCCATAAGTAGAAAGCTGAAACTGGATCCTTTCCTTACTCCTTATACGAAAATTAATTCAAGATGGATTAGAGACTTAAATGTTAGACCTAATACCATAAAAACCGTAGGGGAAAACCTAGGTAGTACTATTCAGGACATAGGTATGGGCAAAGACTTCATGTCTAAAACACCAAAAGCAACGGCAACAAAAGCCAAAGTTGACAAATGGGATCTCATTAAACTAAAGAGCTTCTGCACAGCAAAAGAAACTACCATCAGAGTGAACAGAGTGAACAAAAGAAACTACCTACAGAATGGGAGAAAATTTTTGCAATCTACTCATCTGACAAAGGGCTAATATCCAGAACCTACAAAGAACTCAAACAAATTTACAAGAAAAAAACAAACCACCTCATCAAAAAGTGGGCAGAAGATATGAACAGACATTTCTCAAAAGAAGACATTCATACAGCCAGCAGACACATGAAAAAATGCTCATCATCACTCGCCATCAGAGAAATGCAAATCAAAACCACAATGAGATACCATCTCACACCAGTTAGAATGGCGATCATTAAAAAGTCAGGAAACAACAGGTGCTGGAGAGGATGTGGAGAAATAGGAACACTTTTACACTGTTGGTGGGATTGTAAACTAGTTCAACCATTATGGAAAACAGTATGGCGATTCCTCAAGGATCTAGAACTAGATGTACCATATGACCCAGCCATCCCATTACTGGGTATATACCCAAAGGATTATAAATCATGCTGCTATAAAGACACATGCACACGTATGTTTATTGCGGCACTATTCACAATAGCAAAGACTTGGAATCAACCCAAATGTCCATCAGTGACAGACTGGATTAAGAAAATGTGGCACATATACACCATGGAATACTATGCAGCCATAAAAAAGGATGAGTTTGTGTCCTTTGTAGGGACATGGATGCAGCTGGAAACCATCATTCTTAGCAAACTATCACAAGAACAGAAAACCAAACACTGCATGTTCTCACTCATAGGTGGGAGCTAAACAATGAGATCACTTGGACTCGGGAAGGGGGACATCACACACAGCGGCCTATCATGGGGAGAGGGGAGGGGGGAGGGATTGCATTGGGGGTTATACCTGATGTAAATGACCAGTTGATGGGTGCTGACGAGTTGATGGGTGCAGCACAGCAACATGGCACAAGTATACATATGTAACAAACCTGCACGTTATGCACATGTACTCTAGAACTTAAAGTATAATAATAATAATAAATAAATAAATTTTAAAAAAAAACCAATATCATTACAAATGAATATATGTCTTAATTTTACAATAGATACTTTCATTGTACTATTTGTTCACTTTGTAAAAAAGACAAAATATTTGTTCTATATATTTTGTATAGAAATATATAGATTTATTTTTATTTTAGTATTAATCATTTACTGCTTACGGTCATTAATTGGTCTTGTGGAAAATTATCACATGCTCTATTTCTTTATAACATTCTAATTCTTATTTGGCTATTGAGGTTTTCCACTGATATCTTGTTTAGTTTTATATCTCCAGATGTATGCATCATTTATGCATCCCAAACAAAAATTAGCTATTAACCACTCTTACATTATCAGGCTGATTTATATGGACAAACGGTGATATCCTTAATACAGTCTGAGTTATTTGTGATTTTATGGCTTCAAAAGGACTCACTGAGAATTCAGCGTATCGACTGTTTCTAGTTCAGATGAGAAATAAGAATGAACGAAGATGTGGTTAAAAGAAATGGAGAAAATGTTGAATTAAATCCTACTCTACAAATTGAAAGACTTATTGAGCTATTTTTCTGTCTTAAAAAGGTAGCTCACTAAGGCGTAGTCAGAGTTGTGCACAGATTGTGCTTGCTGTGGTAGTTACTGTCAATTTACTTAGAATTTCTTCAATAAACAGTTTTTAATTCCCTAGTCTATTGCTTAGAAGAACTGAAGCATCCCTTTTAGGAAATTTGTCTTTGATAAAATACTTATAAATCTCACAAAAACTCAACAGCATGTTCAAAGTCATGTAAATTAAATAAACTTTTAGTTGTCAAAGCCAAGAGACAGGTGCTGCATGGAGATTAATCAAGAGTAGGCTCAACGTTGTATCTGTTTCACTAACTCAACGAAGTCAGCTGAGGAACTCTATGAAGCCCAGGGCAAATTTCTTTACATATGTTTCTCTATTCTGTGTCATTTCACCATGGCGCCTTTATTTTGAAAACTTTGAAGACAATTTCAGTTTTAGGATACCCTTTTAACATTTCAGAAAGCCATAGGAGTTGGAGTAAATTTTTTAAAATCCATCCCCTAAAGTATTTATCCTTTGAGTTACCAACAGTCTAATTATACTCAAGACCTTTTAAAATGTACAATTAAGTTGTTATTGACTATAGTCACCCTATTGTGCTATCTAATAGTAGGTCTTATTCATTATTTCTAAGTATTTTTGCTGGGGTGGGGAGTTGAGGATGTTCAGTAAGTACAAAAAATAGAAAGTTTTAAAAATGATACTTTAATGAACAGATGAACAGATCTTTAATGATATTTAATGAACAGATACTTCAATGAACAGATCAGTAGGCAGTGGTTAGAAATTACCTCAGAATAAATAAGCACAGGATAGACATAGAAGAACATCAGGAAAGACGTTATAGTGAATACAAAGAAGAGGTAGGAAAAAAAGCATTGAGATAAGTGGATGGAAGGCAGAGGGGGTTGGGGAAATGTATGCAATAAACTTCTACCTGGCTGTTTCTATAGATGTTGAGAAAATGGGAAGAAAAATGAAAGCTGATGAGAATGGAAATAGAGGTCATATATATACTACTGAAAAAGGATAAAGAAAGAAATTGACTGGAGTGTGCAAAACAGAGGCAGATGCAATCTGCAATTTTACTAGGACTTTGAATAAAACCAATTATAAAGGAGAGTGTTAGGACTTGAATGGAAAACTGAACTACCACTCTGATAAGCCTGCATAGGAGATGGATTTTGTGCCCTCAATTTCTGAAATTAATTCTTACATATTTTGCAACCAAAAGGTTCTGAGGCTGGTATACAAAGCCAAAAATAGTATAAAAGTTATTGTGAATAAAATGCTAAAAATCAACATATGCTTTTTTTGAGTCGTTTGGCTATTGTACACAGCAGGGCATTAAAATCATTTTGATTTCAAATGTTTTCCTGTATTGTGAATATAGGCATTTTCTGAAGACTTCACCTTGATAAATAAGTTTGCTTTTTAAAACTACAGATTTAACATCTGTAAATTGAAAAAATAGCTGTAAATTCAGTTGAATATGAAGTTATCAGTTTGGAAGATGATGGACAAAGGAAATGATTCATTATAAAAGAAATACCATAAAGTGTAGATGATGTAATACACCTGGTAATAGGCAATTCTGTTGAGCATTTGGAATGTGCATATTTTGAACAGTCAGCCATTTCTTCTCATAAAAGCAAAGCAGTAAGTTCAATCGTGTCCTGAATAAGACATTAAGTAAGCTGAAATATTTTAATGAGAATGAGGGCCTCTCCCTGCATGAGAAGACAATAGATAAATGAGTTGTAACATCAAACGTAATACAAATAACTACAGCAAAGGAGGGTATACAGATGACTCATCACATGCTCTGACCAGGGTATATAAGCCTCTTACACATGCTGGCATTTACACTGAGGATCTTGCCTTGAGCAGCAAACTCACCACTCCTGACACCATGAACTACTACGGCAACTACTATGGAGGCCTGGGCTACGGCTATGGAGGCTTCGATGACCTGGGCTATGGCTATGGCTGTGGATGTGGCGGCTTCCGCAGACTGGGCTATGGCTGTGGCTATGGAGGCTATGGATACGGCTCTGGCTTCGGGGGCTATGGATACCGCAGCTGCCGCCCGTCATTCTACGGAGGATATGGATTCTCTGGATTTTACTGAAATCCTTCCCTGACAACCTAACATGAGAGGCCATAAGATCACCCAAACCTGACTGCAATAACAAAAGGACGAGGTCACCCTGGATCAAGCCGAGATCAAGAGCACTTAGCATCTGAGAGTTTTAAGAATACCTATCATTCCATAATTCTTTGCTTTATGTCTCTGGATGTGTCTTACTTGTACCTTTATAGCTGTGGGGCTTCTCTCTTCCTTTTGGAATAAAGTATGTTGACTTAAAGCAAATACATGGCTTTTATTTTTTGCTTGACTCAAAATGGCAAAGTGGTTATTTATAATTATATCCAGTGAAAAAAGAACAAACTATATACATATAGAAGTATATTATATATAATAAAATAATTTTGTATATACATGCACCTATCTATATAGCTGTATGTATGTGTGTGCATGTATATATCCGCATTCAAAGGTCACAGTTGACCCTTGAATAATGCAGGGGTTGGGGTACTGATTCCCCCATGCAGTTGAAAATCCACATATAACTTTTGACTCTCCAGACACCTAACTACTGGTAGCCAACTGTTGACTGGAAGCCTCACTGATAACATAAACAGTTGATTAACACATACTTTGTATTTTATATGCATTATACACTATATTCTTACAATAAAGTAAATAAGAGAAAAGAAAATGTTATTAAAATAGTAAGGAAGAGAATTTATATTTACTGTTTGTCAAGTGGAAGCAGCTCATCATTCAGGTCTTTATCCTCATTGTCTTCACATTGGATAGGTTGAGGAGGAGGAGGAAGAGGAGGAAGGGGGACGTTGGTCTTGCTGTCTCAGGAGTGGCAGAGGTAGAACAAAATCTGAGTATGAGTGGATTCACTCAGTCCAAGCCCATGTTGTCCAAAGTAAGCTGTACATGCACAAATTAAAACCATAACACTCAATTAAAAAGAATCTTTTTTCTTTGGAATACTGTGCCGTATTGACCATATCTTTTTCATTTCAATGCTTTCAGTTAGATGTTAGTGTTTAAATTCAGCCCTGAAATACCAACTTTATAAACTTTCAAATCTCAATGGAGACCAACATGAAGAGTATGTACTTCCATAGTTTGTTCAAAATGTATGTTTATTTGGCCCTTTCAGTGGTAAGAAATGTAACGATAAGACAAAGTATGTATCTGAAAATACACTGAAAATGAACTTCTTTTTGTGACTTTCATGTTTTATTCCTGGTCCGTTGTGGTGTGACACGAAGTTGCTTTCTCATATTATCAGCACATTTAAATATTTTGCAATACACCAAGGAAATATAGAAATCACTGCCATAACTTGTGAAGTAATTCATATTAAGGCTGTGACTGACCTGAAGCTTTATACACTCTAGCCAAGCCTCTTTTAACCTCCAACAAGCAAACGTGGGCCTTTTCATGTTGGTATGTCAAATAACTGTTTGCCCAAGAAAAATATGTAATAACATATTATTATGTTTCAAGAATAATGTATTTCAGTACTGAAACAAAAGTGAATGTCTTTGTTTGAGTCAAGCAAATTCAAAAATGCCAGGAAAATAATATAAAAGAACTGTGGAGTGTGCAGGGGTACTACTATAAAGTTTTCCCAATGCTTACCCTGATACCATCTTGAATGGGAAAAGATCTCCAAAAAGTGAAATCGTTTGCTAAGGATCAAAAATGACATGACAAGGAGATCCCAGACCAGAACCCAGTTTTACTAAATATCAGGCATTCTACTTCCCCATGCTCACTGTTCCATTCATTTTTTACATCTCTTCTTGTGTGTTGTCACATGAAGCATCTTGAAGGCTCTGGTCATGTGCGTCTGAAGACTTTAATTATCATGGCCAAATAACCACCTCTATTTATTTTCATTTGTAAACACTCTGTTGTAGAATCTCGAACTTAGCAATTTTTAATGTACTTTTATCTGTGTAAAAACAACTTGTTAATAATGAAAATCCAATATTTTAATATTTAAAAGAAATCATAATGCATTTGAAAAACTCTGACTTGTTTACTGAACATATGAATGGATTTGCTTAGCCAGATACTATTACCAATTCTTTCATTCAATTCAAGTGAGATGTTGCAGTTTCACCATAAACAGACCTCAGTAAAAATATCTTAGTGTCTCCATTGCAGGGCTGTAGTATTTAGTTTTACTGAGTACGACAGAATTTCACATGAAAATTTTTTACTCCCTAAGTGGTCAATGGCATCACAGTCTGAAGAAAGGCTATGTCAAAAGAAGAACAATTAATATAACCATTTAGAGGAAAGTAACACTTTTAGTATAATGCAATTTTATCATATTATTACATCTCCAGTTGTTAGATTGTATTGATTTGTGTTGAAATTAAAAGAATACCTTTGGAATACATTTCCTTCCAAGGAAAAGCTGTCACCTGGTCTACAGAAAATGCATCATAGGGTCATCAGCCCCACAACTGAGAAAAGGAATCCCCAAAATGTAGGTATAATATTACAAGATAACAGGAAGAAAAAATAACTGAGGGTACAAGTCCTCAGTTGACTCCAAGAATTTCGTCACATACAGCCACAGCAGACCCCAAACATAGTTAATTCAGCTGTGCCCTTAACTTCAACCCTTAGCCTTTAAGTTCTTATTAACCTTATATGATCTCAAATATAGTGATCAGTTATTTTTAGTCTTATCAGTAATTTCCAAATGTTGCGTTTTCACAACTGAATTTGTATACTTCTTTGCAATAATCACCATGTAGTAACAGCACAGTACATAAATGCTGAATGGATGAATAAATTCTAAAGTCTATGCCTCTCAAAGGCATGAGTAATTCTCTGGCCGCATCTGAACAATAGGGATTTATAAAGATGAAATGAGGGCTGGGCGAGGTGGTTCATGCCTCTAATCCCAACACTTTGGGAGGTCGAGGGGGGAGGGTCACTTGAGCCCAGGAGCTTGAGACCAGCCTGGGCAACATAAAGAAGACAATGAAATGAGCTCCAATAGCATCTGACTTTAGAGGAACATATAACCTTCATTTTATTTCATTTGTAATATGCAATATATCTAGCTATGAAGAAATCTATTTAGGATCTGGTATGCCAAGACTTTAGATACAGCAATTTCTTCTCATTAAGTGATGTAATAACTTTTAAGGGCCACTGTAACTCAGCAACAAAGCAAACTCAAACAATTTAAAGAATGCGAGGGCCTCTCCTTGTGCCAGGGAACAATGAATGACTTCTGTTAAGTAATTAATTGAAAACACACACACACACACACACAAACAGGTATGCATGTGACTCACCACATGCTCTGACCAGGGTATATAAGCCTCCCTCGACACATGCTGCCATTCACACTCAGGATCTTGCCTTGAGCAGCAAACCAACTCACCACTCCTGACACCATGAACTACTACGGCAACTACTACGGAGGCCTAGGCTACGGCTATGGAGGCTTCGATGACCTGGGCTATGGCTACGGCTGTGGATGTGGCGGCTTCCGCAGACTGGGTTATGGCTGTGGCTATGGAGGCTACGGATATGGCTGTGGCTATGGAGGCTACGGATACCGCAGCTGCCGCCCATCATGCTATGGAGGATATGGATTCTCTCAGTTCTACTGAAATCCTACCCTGAGGACTCAGTATCAGAGGTCATAAGAAGATCATTCAAATTAACCAAATACTGAGCCAAACAAGGGCACACTGTATCAATCTGAGATTAAAAAAAATCATTTAGCATCTAAGATGTTAGGAATATTTATTATGTTATAATTGTCTATATCATGTCTACTGGCATCCATTATCTGTACTTTACTAATTGTGGAATTGCTTGGTTCCCGTTGCAATAAATTGTCTCAATTTGAAATGGCACACATGGCTTCTGTTTATTTATTTATCTATTTGTTTAAATGCTGACTCTCCATTCCATTGCCTATTTCTTTTCTTGAGTGCTTCCCAATAATCTTAAAATTCTGGTCAGACGTTCGTGTAACAATCACAGCAGAGTTTTGAAGACTAGTCTACTTTTCACACTATATGCCTCTTTTTATTTAAGATTTTGGTGAATCTGGAACCTCTTAATTTTTAGCATATCTAGATCTAAATAAAAGTAATCAGTAATTAATGATAAATTCAAATGGTATAAAAAAGTAAGAAGAATTAGAAAGACTCAGACTTGTTTACTAAACATAAGAATAGGTTTATACAGCCAGCTAGTAAGACCCACACTTTCAGTCAGTCTAGTCAGAGTACATACACTTTCCATTGATTGGGTCAACTGATTCCATTGGAGGGCTACACTACTTAGTTTGACAGAATATGACAATAGCTCTTTCATTTTCCTAATCGTTAGTGGCATTTTCCCACAATACAGGTAAAGGCCTTCTGTAGCTATGAATAAGTATAACAATCAATTTAACTACTTGGAAAAAGCGTTTGATACTTCTAGTACAATGTAGTATGATCAAATTATTAGAACTTGAATTTATTGATTTTATGGATTGCTGAAGGATTTAAAAAAATATTTCAGAATATCTTTACTTTCAGGGAAGAGCTTTGCTTATCTTAGGAAGAACACATTATAACAAGACCTTAAGCCCCAAAACAGATGCATATTTGGTAGACTTAAATTGGCGGTATCTGAAACCTGTTTGATTTATTTGCGATTATGTTGCTTTAGCCTGAGTTAATAAAAACTGTAATATTCAAATCGTCAACTGCCTTTAAAAAATAATCACAAAAATAGAACAAGCTTTAAAGAAAACAGAGAAAAGTTTTAAATAACAATGTGAGTAGTCAAAATTTTTAAAATTAGTACCAAAAACATTAAACATAAAACAAAAAGATTTTAAAGTGAGAATTTATTATATTATTGCATTTTATTTATGTAGAGACACCATTTTAAGGTGAAAAAATCTATATACTGGATGAAAATATTTTTAATACATAAATCTGAAAAAACACCCATACCCAAATATGTAAAGATCACCTGAGAATCAATAATAAAATATTACTAGCTCAATTAAAAGTGAACAAAATACTTCAACAGGTACTTCAAAAAAATATCTAAATGGCCTATAAGCATATGTAAAGATGTTGAACATTGTTATTAATCAATAAAACCATATTAAAACAATGATCAGGTATCATTATGTATTCACAAGAGTAGTCAATTTTTTAAAGAGTTTGCAAGTGATCAGTGGAGGTAAGGATGTGAAGCAACTGGAACTCTCATACATCCCTGTTGTTACAGTAAATTTAACAACTGGTAAACGTAATAACTGTATCTTGAGATTGGTAGAATCTATGGAAGCTAACTATATATTATATATAACTGTTATTTATGATAATATATACTTATATATAATGTATAAAATAAGTATAGATATGATACAAATTAGTAATTCCTATCCCAGCTGTAACAAAGGTATAGGAAAGTCTAGGTCTAAAAATAAGGATCTTAGCTGGGTATGGTGGCTCACTCCTGTAATCCCAGCACTTTGGGAGGCTGAGGCTGAGGCAGGCGGATCACTTGAGGTAAGGAGTTTGAGACCAGCCTGGCCAATATGGCGAAACCCTGTTCTACTAAAAATACAAAATTATTTTTTATTTGGGCATGGTGATGCATGCCTGTAGTCCCAGTTATTTGGGAGGCAGAGGCAGGATAATCACTTGAACCTGGGAGACAGAGGTTGCAGTGAGCCAAGATAGTGCCACTGCACTCCAGTCTGCATGATAGAGTGAGACTCCATTAAAAAAAAAAGAAAAAAAGAAAAAAAGAAAATTTATAAAAAGGTACATAACAGCTTTCTTTATTCACTGTAGCAAAAAAAAAAAAAAAACCAAACCAAAACTGAAACCACTAAACTCCTCAAATATAGGCCTACCAGAGTAGAATCATAAATCAGTTGTGCTCTATTCATGTAGTAGACTACTTTTCAGAAATTAAAACGACAAAATTCACGTTACATATGACAGAGATCTACCTAATAGACAGTGATACACAGACCAATTGGGGATGGAAATGGAAAGTTTCAGTATGCTATATGAGACCACCTAAGTGAAGTAGAGAACAAGAAAGCCTTATGCAGGATGTTAATAGTTACTCTACACGGAATAATATGGACTGCTAGAGTCAAGGGACAGATTTTGGGAATTAGAGTGTGCTTGTTATAGATGGTCTATAAATATAAGAAAAATATCACCAACTTGTGCACTTAAGATTTAAGTATTTTTAAATATGCCTTAAACAACAGCAACAAAAAGCAAATGAAATGATAGCTTATTTGTTCCTCTAAAGAAAGAAAGCTATTTGAGCTAATTTCTCTTTTAAATTCTTATTGTTGGATACATTCATAGTATTGTTCATTTCTATGAGATGTAAGATTTTTACCTGTAAGAACTTTAGAATTCATTCATCTATTCAATATTTATATATTGAGTTTCTATTGCATGCTGGTCATTGAACTGCAGCCAGCAAATCTATCTGGAGAAATGCATAATTTGAAAATTGCTTATAAACTCATCAAAAGTTGAACAGTATATTCAAAGTAATACAAGTTTAACAAGAAATTATATATTTAAGCTTAAAGTTAAAGGGCATATGTGGGTGGGGCTTGGGGTCATCCTTGGGTCTAGGTGACTAAATTCTTAGAGTCAGCTGAGGTACTCTTTGTCTTTATTATTTTCTTCATCCTGTCTTTTTACATTATACATATTTTGGGGGATAATTAAGACATTCACAATGCTAACAGTCTCTTACTGAATTTCCCAGGGTCTTGGGCAATGGCATCTATTTTTAACATCTAACACTTTAATAAATGCTTAACATCTTAATAAAGATTAGTTAGCTATTTTCCTTGAGGAAAAAAAGGAACACACAATAGGTAAAGGTAATATAAAGGCAAAAATATTATCAAAATTTGAAGATTATATATATATCTTTATATACATATGTCTATCTATCTATATATATATATAGAGATATAGATATGAATTTAAGTAAGTACTAAATGAAAATTGATGGGAGGCAAAGAGAATTCCATATATTTCACCATCTCACCTAGTCCCAGACGCTAATGGGAACTGAAAGAATATATTGAAAAGAGGATAATTGTGTGGATCAGGAAAAAGGAATGAATGGTGTTTGTAAGAGAGGAGAGCCATACAATCTGTATTTTTGGTAGCACCTTGGATGTCTAATATGGCAGTAAGGGAGTCAGGGTGTGAAAAAAATTTTGAACAGTTTGTAAAGCTGCTTAGGAAATAGATTTTTTATTACTGTGATTTGACTTTAATGTTTGAGCTATATTCTGTTATGTTGTTAAATCTAAATGGTTTTTATTTTTTAAACTAGTGAAACAAAAAAAAAAGGAGAATATTGATTATGATGGCCAATGTTCTAGAATAATAGAAGAATGGTGGCTTTATTTTAACTTTTTTAACCCCATGAAGTTCTTTACTGTTAGGCATAGCAGGTGAGCAGATGGCTCCAGTCTTTCAAATGTTTGTATCTCTTTAAAAAGGGACCTCACCTAAGGTATAAGATAACTCTGGAAGAATATGATAAATTTCAGAGCATTGAATTTAACCAAAGTCTGTTATGCAATCACAAATGAAGCAAAACAATTCCAGGAAAGCCAGAGATGAAGCAATACTTAATTTCAAAATGTAGCATTACCAACTGTGTAATGCAACATGCCTACAAAGAAGTCTATTTAAGGTCTGGTATGTACAGACTTTGAACCTACAGCAATTTCTATTCATAAAAGTGATGCAATATGTTAAAGAGACAGCATGACAAGACAGAAATGCAATGCAAGCTCAAACACTTTAATGAGTTTGAGGGCCTCTTCAGATGTCAGGATTGGGTCAGGTAAGTGTAACATATAGAATTACACTAAAATAGGCAGGAAGTGTTTTGTCACGTGATCTGTCAGGGTATATAAGCATGCCTGCGCAGATGCCAACATTCACACTCAGGACCTTGCCTTGAGCAGCAAACCAAACTCACTACCCCTGACACCATGAGCTGCTACGGCAGCTACTACGGAGGCCTGGGCTATGGCTACGGAGGCTTCGGTGGCCTGGGCTATGGCTATGGATGTGGATGTGGCGGCTTCTGCAGACTGGGTTCTGGCTGTGGCTATGGAGGCTACAGATACGGCTCTGGCTTTGGAGGCTACGGATGTGACTCTGGCTTCGGAGGCTATGGATATGGTTCTGGCTTTGGAGGCTACGGATATGGCTGCTACCGCCCATCATACTATGGAGGATATGGATTCTCTGGATTCTATTAAACTACTGCCCCAGCAACACAATATCTGAAATTATAAGAGGACTTTCCCAAAGCTGACTTCAATCATTGGACAACCAAGATCATGCTGGAGTTATTTGCACAAAAGAATTTAACATCTCAGAATTTCAGGCAATCTTTTCTATGTGCACCCATCTCTCTATCATAATCCTGGTATTCTCTACTTTTGCTTTTATAACTGGTTGAATTATCTATTTATCTTCCAATAAAACATTCTAATTTCAAAACACAATGTGGTTCCGTTTTGTTCATGAAACTCAATTATATGTAAGTGATGATGTCATTCAGAGATGCTATCTCCCTGACTGAGAATCTATGATTTTCATATACCTCATAAACATGCATGCAGATAGATAAATACATCAATAACTCCAAGGAATAATAATTCTATATTGAAATGAAAAATAGAACTTCAGAATGGTTAGTAATCTCACATTTTTCAACGTTTTGCTTTTATTTAGATAGTATTCAGATTTAAGTCAACAACAAAAAGCAATACCTACTTAACATGTCTTTATATTTATATATCAAGCATATATGTTTTATTTAATTCAGGTCACATTTGTCAACTCACTGCGAATGTGTAATGAATCTTTCTATCCGTTCAAAATTTCTTTCTTTTATTGTAAGAGCAAGCAAATGGTGACAGATCAAACCATATTTCTAGGTTAATTATGAAAGTATATTATCTTTCCAAATTATTGTATTTGGTATAAACTCACCCTATCATACTCTTCTGCTCATTAATTTATTTGACATTTTCATTGAACAACTGATGTAACTATTAAATTAGTGTAGAGTTTTTTTATATTGGTTTAACATATTTAACTCAAAACATTTTAGATATTTTTTTCCAACTGGCTTTTCTATTATCTTACTTAATCCTCATGGTATGATACAGCATTCTTCTTCACCATCACCATTATATTGAAAATTTTGCAACTTAACAAGGGAAAGAAACAAGACTTTAATGTGAACTATTTATTTATTTATTTATTTATTTTATTTTTTTGAGACGGAGTCTCGCTCTGTAGCCCAAGCTGGAGTGCAGTGGCGCGATCCTGGCTCACTGAAAGCTCCACCTCCTGGGTTCACACCATTCTCCTGCCTCAGCCTCCCGAGTAGCTGGGACTACAGGCGCCCGCCACCGCCCCCGGCTCATCTTTTGTATTTTTAGTAGAGACGGGGTTTCACCGTGGTCTCGATCTCCTGACCTTGTGATCCACCCGCCTCGGCCTCCCAAAGTGCTGGGATTACAGGCGTGAGCCACCGCACCTGGGCAAACTAATTTATTTTTTAGCTTAAGCTGATGAAAAGAACACTTTGATCCAAAGAGTTTTCTTACAAACCTGAATTTCAGTTAAACCACTCCCCTGATAAAAATAGGAAGAAGGGGGCATTTTGTTGATGAAATTTTTAAAAGATATAAATGAATATCAGCTTTTTTCTAAAATCAAAGGATATATTCAACAAACAACATAAAATCAAGATATTTTGTTTAAATGTCAAAACTTGTTAAATGTGTCTGATTGAGTCACACAGTAGCATTAAAAGTTGCTCTACTAGAACAGACATTAAATGGTAGCAGTTACATTCATTTCATCTTGTAGGTTAAACAACAATGACAGCAGCAAAAACACTCAGGAAACTTACACTAGCTCTAGTGGCAGAGTCAGGATCAGGGTTATTGCCAAGGTCTTCTGAATGCAGGTGCCACCATGAAGCCTTTATTCCCAGTATATTTTCTCCCTTCATGAACCCAAAGAGGATATCTTGAATGTTCTGCTCAGTTTCCATAAACATGACTGAATTTATGGGGGAAATGAAAATGGTTTCTTATTGAACCTCTTGATTTCAATGTTACCTTCATCTAGACTTCAACTGTAACCACATCTATATGCATATCTATAAGTATATATACATATGTATAAGTATACCTATATTTATCTGTATGGATATATCTGTTTCAAGGGATTAAAGTTTTCATTTGAAAGTCACAAAGTTAAATTTGCTTAGCCATGTGATATCAGCTATTCTTCTAGTCAGTTCAATCTGGATGTTGTAGGATCACAATGCGTAGAAAGGCAAGGTACAGTTATGTGGTTCCATTATTTTGCACTTATTCATTCAGGTTAATAGTTTCAAAGTCAATGGACATGCCTTATGAAGCTAAAAATAAAAACACCCATCAATATGATTATATTGAGAAACATTGTATATTATACTTTTATTCAAATGCATTATCAAATTTTATTACATCTTATTTTTTATTTAATTAATTTTTATCTGGGTTAAAGAAACATGTTTTGAATTTATAGAAAAATGTCTTTATCTCTCAAATAAAAGTTAATCACCCAGCCAGTAGAAAACTTTATTTTCATTATTTCACACCTCAACACAGGATCTGAGTTTCACAATTAACTCATGATCTTCCTGGAAAAATCTCCCAAAAATAGCATAACAGAGAACTAATTGTGCAAGTCCACTAAATTAAGTGAAAAAATCAGAAAAATAAACATTTCTCAATTTCCAAAGTTAATCGCTATCCAAACGATACTATAATTGTTCTACTTTTTAATTAGGAAAAAAGCAGAAGTCTTTGATTGTTTTGGTTCATATATTTCACAGCATTATATGATGATATATGTGCATGTATCAATATATGTGTATTTGTGTATCACAATGAGATATATCTTATTATTTTGTTCTTGAAAATACATAAGTAAAGCAGGGCGTATTTTATTAAATAATATTTTGTTTGTAAAAAATAATAAAAATTGCCTTTAATTTGTAAAATCTAATGGATGATATTTCTCTTGGAGATGGTTATAGGCATCAGAAACAGCAATGTACATTGGCCTTTCATGAGGGTTAGAAAATCTGGAGGGCATACCCAAGAATTAATGAGATTCTTAAACTAGTTAGACTTACTTATTATTGCTTGTCTTCAACAACTACTTATTGAGAATTTAAAAATTGTCCAGTTTTCTTTTTCAGAACGAAAATAAAGGTGGAATGAATTTTGATAAAGGAGAAAGCAACCACGGCAAATATTGAGTTGAATATTCCTTTAAAACCTGAAAGCCATTTTGAGTGCATACTCCTCATGAGATGTGCACTACATGTTGAGGCAGGCAAAATTCATTATTTCATTTATCCAACAACGTTTTTGGAAGAATAGTGAACAAATCAAGTTGAGAAAATGCTTTATCAAAAACGTTGCTTATAAACCTCAAAACAAAGCAAAACAGAAAACAAAGCAACAAAAAAATACCTTTGGCAAAATGTTTACAGTCTTGTAAAGCAAAGCACTGCTTAAAGACCCAAGTCCAATATATGGTCATATTCTGGTGGAGCTAAACTTGGACTTGATTTACTGTCTTCCCAGAGTAAGTATAGAAAATCGGTGGAGAATGGCCAGCCCTCCTCACATCCTTGCTTCCTATCTCAGTTATTTCACCAGTGCACATCTGCATTTGAGATTTTCAAGGTATCAGAATTGTAAGAGACTGTTAGATATATTATATGACTCTAAGAGTCATATAAACTATTGTTCAAAAATGTGTAACTTTAATAAACAAATAATGTCTTTTGTTTGCTGGTTGAGAGAAAATAAGAAGGTGAGGCACACAGAATTGGAAAAGAAAACATAAGGATAAAAATATTGTGATAAAATTAAATATATGGGTAGAAGGATAAAATATTGATTGGAAAAAAAAATGGATAAGAACAAATACCTACGTAGCACTAGTACATATCGGGAATGAATACAGCATAAAATGAAAAGGTTTGATAAAGAGAACGGATATATACATAGTGAGGAAGACTAGGAAGTGGAAGACAAGTGGTATCTGTAAAGCATGAAGCCAAGATCATCTGAGTAGCCTAGGTAATACTTTATGTAGAGCCAGTTCTGGAAAATTGTGTAACGGTAAAAATAGAAATGATTGTTTTCGTGTGTGTGTGTATGTTTTAGACAGTTTCACTCTGTCACCCAGGCTGGAGTGCAGTGGCACGATCATGGCTCACTGCAGCATCAACTTCCCAGGGATCAAACAATCCTCCTGCCTTAGCCTCCCAAGTAGCTGGAACCATAGGTGTGCACCCTCACATCTGGCTATTTTTTTTTTTAATTTTATAGAGACAAGGTCTTCCTATGTTGCCTAAGCTACTCTCAAACTCCTGGTGATATAGTTTGGCCATGTCCCCATCCGAATCTCAACTTGAATTGTGTCTCCCAGAATTCCCATGTGTTGTGGGAGGGATTCAGGGGGAGGTAATTGAATCATGAGGATTGGTCTTTCCCTTGTTATTCTCATGATAGTGAATAAGTCTCATGAGATCTGATGGGTTTATCAGGGATTTTCACTTTTGCTTCTTCCTCATTTTCTCTTGCCGCCACCATGTAAGAAGTGCCTTTCACCTCCTGCCATGATTCTGAGGCCTCCCCAGCCATGTGGAACTGTGAGTCCAATTAAACCTATTTTTCTTCCCAGTCTCAGGTATGTCTTTATCAGCAGTGTGAAAACAAACTAATACACCTGGGTTCAAGTGATCCTCCCACTTTGGCCTCCAGCATTACAGGGGTAAGCCACTGTACCCTACCTGAAGAGAATATTTTTGAACAGTTGGTCAGGCTGGTGTAACAGTGAGTTTGTTCTCTTGAATAGTATCTCGGTTTCTGGAAGAACTTTTGTTATGCTGATAAGCCAAAACAATGTTTTGCAAGCTGATATAGAAAATTAAAGTAGTTTTATATTATGCCTACATACATATTTCCATTACTTTGTATTTACCACAGCTGATCAGAAAATTTATTTATTCAAAAAGTTCCTTTTCTTTTGAAGGAGGAATAGCCTTAATTTCTCAACCCAGTAAAGATATTTGATATTTGAAGGCTTTACTAGATTTAAAAGTTTTAAACTTGATCAATGTATTTGAATCTAGGGGGAGGTAAAATTGAACAATCTAAGGAATGGTATAAAAATGAGAAATTAGAAAAAATTTAATAAAAACACAGTATCAAATACGAATAATTCAATATGCTTAGTGATGAAGAATTATATTTAGAATTTTAAAAAATTGTGTAACTTTGAAAATGCAGACTATTTTGTCATTAAAAAGAATGTATCAGCTGGGCACAGTGGCTCACGCCTGTAATCCCAGCAGTTTGGGAGGCCAAGGCGGGTGGATCACCTGAGGTCAGGAGTTCGAGACCAGCCTGGCCCACATGGTGAAACCCCGTCTCTACTAAAAATATAAACATTAGCTGGGAGTGGTGGCAGGCACCTGTAATCCCAGCTACTCAGGAGGCTGAGGCAGGAGAATCACTTGAACCCAGGAGGTGGAGGCTGCAGTGAGCTGAAATCACACCACTGCACTCCAGCCTGGGCAACAAGAGCAAGACTCCATCTTAAAAAAAAAAAAGAATGTAATAAGTTAAAGGGCATTCTAACCATGCAGCTAAGCCAGCTCAAAGATTTTAATGAGTTTGTATCTCTCCTTTTGCTAACAAACAGATTGATGATTTGCATCGAGTAAATAAATAAATTGGGATGCTGTAAAGGATGGCCACATGTTTATCACATGTTCTGCTCAGGGTATATAAGCGTTCCCTAAACGTGCTGATATTCACACTCAGGACATTGCCTTGGACAGTAAACCCAAGTCACTATCTCCGACACCATGAGCTACTATGGCGGCTACTATGGAGGTCTGAGCTATGGCTGTGGGGGTTTTGGTGGCATGGGCTATGGCTACAGCTGTGGATGTGGCAGCTTCCACAGACTGGGCTATGGCTGTGGCTATGAAGACAGGAGATATGGCTGTGGCTACAGAGGCTATGCAGATGGTTGCTGCTGCCCGTCATGCTACAGAGGATATAGATTCACCGGCTTCTACTAAGCTGCTGCTCTAGTGATGCAGCATCTGTTACCTTGAGGGGATTTCAAAACAAGTTACTTACTTCTAAGATACAATGGGGGTAAAGGTGTAAATGTGTAAATGCTCCCATTCCGAAGGGAGAAATTGGCCAAAACAAAGGGGCTATAGACCCCAAACAAGTCCAAAACCCAGCAGGGCAGTCATTAAATATTACAGCTTCAAGATAATCTCCTTTTACTCCATGTCTCACACCCAGGCCACACTGATGCAAAGAGCAGACTCCCAAGGCATTGGGCAGCTCCACTTCTGTAGCTCTGCAGGGTACAGTCCTCCTGGCTGCGTTCACAGGCTTGCATTGAGAATCCACAGCTTTTCCAGGCACACAGTGGAAGTTGTTGGTGAATCTACCATTCTGGGGTCTGGAAGATGGTGACCTTCTTCTCACAGCTCCACTATGCAGTGCCTCAGTAGAGACTCTGGGTGGGGTCTCTAAACCCACATTTCCCCTCCATATTGCCCCAGCAGAGGTTCTCCATAAAGGCTCCACGCTTGCAGCAGACTTCTGTCTGGAAATCCAGGCATTGTCATACATCCTCTAAAATCTAGGCAGGAGCTCCCAAGCCTCAACTCTTGCCCTCTGTGCACCCACAGGCTTAACACCATGTGAAAACCTTGGTAGCTCCTGGCTTGCACTCTCTGGACCATCAGCCTGAGATGTAACTGGAGCCCTTTTAGCCATGGCTGGAGATGGAGTGTCTAGGACTCAAGGCAACATGTCCCAAGGCTGCACAGAACAGTGGGGCCCTAGGCCTGGCCCACAAAATCATTTTTCTCTCCTAGGCCTCTAGGCCTGTGGTGAAAGGGCTGCTGCAACGGTCTATAAAATGACTTGGAGGCATTTTTCCATTGTCTTGGCTATTAACATCTGGCTCCTCTCTACTTATGCAAATTTCTGCAATAGGCTTGAATTTCTCCCCAGACATTGAGATTTTGTTTTCTATGATGTGGCTGGGCTGCAAATTTTCCAAACTTTTATGCTCTGTTTCCCTTTTATGCTCTGGACATGTAAGTTCCAACTTCAGATAATCTCTTTGTTCAAGCATATGAGGTTATGCTGTTAGAAGTATCATGTTACATCTTGAATGATTTGCTGCTTAGAAATTTCTTCTGCCAGATACCCTAAATTATCTCCCTCAAGTTCAAAGCTCAACAGATCCCTAGAACACAGGCACAGTGCTGCCAGTCTCTTTGCTAAAGCATAGCAAGTATGACCTTTTCTCCAGTTTCCAACAAGTTTCTCATCTCCATCTGAGACCGTCTCATCCTGGGCTTTACTGTCCATGTCACTATCAGCCTTTTGGTCACAACAATTTAACAAGTCTCTAGGAAGTTCCAAACTTTCCCCCATCTTCCTGTCTTCTTCTGAGCTCTCCAAACTGTTCCAACCTCTGCCTGTTACTCAGTTCCAAAGTCATTCCACATTTTCAAGTATCTTTATAGCAATGTCCCTCTTCTCTGGTATAGTCCATTGTCCTGTATTAGTCCATTGTCCCACTGCTATAAAAAATACCTGAGACTGGGTAATTTATAAAGTAAATAAGTTTAATTGGCTCACGGTTCTATGGGCTGCACAGGCTTCTCCTAGAGAGGCCTCAGGAAACTTTCAATTATGGTGGAAGGCAAAGGAGAAGCAAGCACATCTTCACATGGTCGCAGGAGACAGAGGTCAAAGGAGGTGCTACACACTGTTAAACAAGCAGATCCCAGGAGAACCCCTTCACAAGACAGCAGTAGGAGGATGATGCCAAACCATTAGACACTGCCCCCATGACCCAATCACCTTCTACTAGGCCCCTCCTCCAACAGTAGGGATTACAATTTGACATGAGATATGGGCAGGGACACACATCCAAAGCATTTCACAGAATCAATAGGATATACCTAGATATACAGAAGAACATTTACTGTTAGGGAAGAACTCATGCAATTATAGAGGCTGAGAAGTCTCATCATCTGCTGTTTGCAAGTTAGAGGCCCAGGAAAGCTGATTTAGTAGTTCCAGTCCAAACCCAAAAGCTAGAGAACAGGGGAGTCAATGATGTTAAGTCTCAATCTGAGACCAAATGCTCTAACCAGGAATGCTGATGTGTGAGGATAGGAGAGGATGAAGATCCCAGCTCAGAAAGCAAGCTCCCTTTACCTTCCCCATTTAGTTCTATTTAGGTCTTCAACAGATTAAGTGATGCTTACATACATAGGTAAGAGTGATGTTTACTCAGTCTACAGATTAAAATGTGAATCTCTTCTAGAAAAACTCTCACAGACCACCCAGAAATATTTTACCAACTATCCTAGCATCCCTTAACCCAGTCAAGCTGACACTTAAAATTGAGTATCACAACATTCATATTATTAAAACTGTAATTAAAACACATTTGCTTCTCACAAATCTTATAATCTATATCCCCAAAACTTAAAGAGAAGTAAACTCTCTTTTTCTATGAACCTTTGCATTATATATAATCTTCCTTTATTCATAATTTTCTGCTTTCATCTAGTTTGTTATGCATGTAAAATAAGCCTGACCTAAAAATCCTTGATAAACTGGATAATAAAATATGAATTGTAGTCATTCAACTCATTTCACTTGTCTTTTTATAGGAATATTGTGTTCTTTATTATCATCATTATTATACGGAAGGATTTGTAATGCAGTAGGGACTATAAACACACAGAAACATCATTATGAGGCAAAATATTGTGTAGTTTCAACTGACTAAAAGTGTCATTTAATATTTAAATATATATAAGTGTATATTTATTATATATAGAAGTGTATATATTTCAATATTAAGTAAATCAATATATTAAATATATAAATATATTTTATATTTCTGTGTTATTAATAAATACTATTTTATTTATATTTCAATACATTATTGATAATTTGATATTTATATTTATATTTATTAATATATAGAACTATATGTTTAAATATTAATGAAATATTCATTTATTTATTATATATTATATATCAAATATATAATACATACATATATAACATATACATTTTGTATATAATGTGTATATTTTATATATCTTATATATTTCTATATGTCTTATATCAATATCATTATATATACATATATGTTTCTCTCTCTCTCTCTCTATATATATATATGATAAAATAAATTTCAGTGAAACCTTATCCTTTCAAGAAATGGCCAAAACAATATTGTTTTTCTAAAATGGAATTTCAGGCAATAATATGTGCCTACAGATGTTTTGTATAAGCTCGCCAAATATAATTAAATGAGGACAAAAATTAAATCACACAATTAAGGACCAGAAAGAGACATTAAAATTTTGCAATGCTGTATTCCAGCAGAATATGTCATTTTTCTTATAATTGGTGCCAAGACTAGGATCAGAATCATGCCATCCTGAGTCCCAGGTATTAGACGATACTGTGCAGACTCACTTTTTATGTATTTTCTTCTTGATTGTTGTCAGATAAACCATTATGAAAGTTCTGGTCATAGTTGTAAGAAGAGCTAAATTATCTCAACTGCTTTTATGAGGGTTAGTCCCTTTTCTTACATTAACATCGATGCTTCATTTTTATTGTTGTGATATAAAGAATTAAACCAATCAAATTTTAGTTTATCTGCTTCTGAATGTAACTAACCAATGAGCAACGTTAAAATTAGACTCTAAGTTAAAAACAAAACAAAGCGCCATGACCTCTTCTTTAAGTCAATGCTCTCAAGCATTCTGTGTCCTACAACAGCAGGCTGAACAGGGGAAATACAGCTAAGTAACTCTATGGGAGATCAGCTATATTGTCTGACCCAGTAGAATAGGATTTCACTAGAAGTATTTTCTTCTCATTTGGGTAATGTCTCAGGGATAGTTTCCATGTGGCTGAAAAGCAGTAATCGATATAATTATTACTGCCATTGTTATTAGTATAATCAATATTATTATAATTTCATGCTGTTTAAGGTTGTACTGAATAATTTCTGAGATGATATAAAATTTCTAACAAAAATGTCCTTATTTCCAGGAAACATGTGAGAACACTTTTCACTCTTCCATCTATCAACATGAGTAGAAAATAGGGTCATGAGCTAACATTCTTAAAAAACAATGATGATCCAAATCTACTTTTGATCCAACAAACGAATAGAAAAAGAATAACCCGTCAAAGGAAATTTCATTGAGACTTTTTTTACTTGCATATACAGAAAAGAAATCAGATTTTTTACATATTCTTCAAACTGTTTTTCTAGTTTACACAGCTAGTGGACAAAATAAGCTATGCATGTCATAGTCATATGTTTTATTCTTTGAAAATACATTTAGTGTTTATTGTACTATCGAAGTTTCGCATTTGTGTCTCATATTATTTCCATATAGAGACAGTTTTATATATCAAAAACATACAAAATAGCCTTTAATCATGGTCACATGCTCTGACAGAGCTACACAAGAAAATGTGAAATTCTTAATGCTATGTAATTTATTCATAATTCTAAATGGTTCATTAAAAATGAATATATGAATTTTATCACTTGACTGATTTTCTGAAATGGAGAATAAAAATGGAATGAAATTGGGTTACAGTAACACAGATATCAAAGAGGAAGGCTAGTGTTGGGTTAAATGCTACTCTGACAGCAGGAATCTCGTTGGAACTTGTGTTCAGCTTTACAACACCTCCAAGAATAGCCAGTAAGTTGCTCGTGTTATGCTATTCATGACCCTTGCATTGATGTCAAAGTCATGTACTTTAATCAAATAATATTTTTGAATGCCAACTAAATATGAGATTTTGTTTTGACACTCAGCAGGTCAGAGAAACATCACATTATAAAAAGAAAGTGTCACTTGAACAGAAAGTCATTATGTTTAGTGAAATAAACAGGCACAGAAAGAGAGGTATCACATGTTCTCACTCATAAGTGGGAGATAAAAAAGTTAATCTTATGAATGTAGAGAAAAGAGTGATAGATATCAGAGGCTGGGATGGGTGTGTGGGTGCAGGAGAGAGAAAAGTTGGATGAAAGATGTAAGTTCTATTGTAGAATGATTATGTTAACAACAATATATTGTATATTTCAAAGTAGCTAGAAGAGAGAGCTTGATTTATTCCCAACGTAAAGAAATGATAAATATTTAAAGTGATGGATATTTCAAATACTCTACCTTGAACATTATACATTCTATACATGCAATTAAATATCACATGTATCTCATAAGTATGTAAAATATGTATCAATAAAAAATTTAAATAAAAATTTTAAAATGTGTCATTCAGCTACTCGTAAATCTCAAAAAAAAAATCTTAGTAGTATGATTATAGTCATATAAAACTGATACCTTTCTGGAGTTCCAAGTTTCAAGACATAGGTACATCTGGATGAGGCTTAATCAGGTATGGGGTAAGCCTTAGGCATTTCTAACTCTATGGGCTCAGCTGAGGAACTCTGGCCAACTCTCCCTAAAGAGCTACTCCTTCTTTTCTATATTTTTCACAATTGTGCCTTAAATTTAGAGAATTTCTTGTTATGCTAAGTTGCACAAATATTTTTTAAATTTCAGATAATTTGAAGAGTTGAAAAATGTTTTAAACAAGAAACACTATAATCAATATCTTAGAAAGATCTAGTTGATATGTTAGGAAAAGCTGACTAAAAAGCGCTTAAAAACAAAACACAACAAAAATCATGGGCATAAAATAGGCAAAGACAAGGGCAAATATTGACTATGGAGATCTAAATGGAAAGAATGAATGTTGATTTGAGTAAATAGGTTGTAGCCAGAACATTTTACCTACTTCGAACTTTTACCTGGATATAGTAATGAATCGTGAAGGAAAGGAAGTTGGGTGAAGTTTGAAGTAAAATCGGCAAAAGATACAAGAGAGATGAATTAATGACAAAAGGTAGAGAAAGAGAAAAAATTCTGTGTGGAGGCAGATTACAATCTTCATTTTTTGGTAACAGTGAGGTTAGAACATATAATGGAAAAGGGACTTGGGATATAAATAGAAAACTCTGGAAAGACTTCACACGAGATGGGCTTTTGATCCCTGTAAGAGTCTCTCCACTTGGGACTACAATTGTGCTGTGTTCTTAAAACAAAACCAATATTTTGCATGTTGGCGTGCAAAGCCCAAAACAAATATAACAATTGTGCATGATCAAAGTTTTAAAAGTCTACAAATTAGGTGACATTTGTTTCTTTCAGGTACATACACAGGTGAATCAAATCTTTCCTGCTTCTGATGCTACAAAATATGTGTGCTTTATGAAGAAACTGATGAATTTAAGAGTCTTGACCTTGGCTATTTCTTGAAATTTTGTAGAATCAATTATAACAACGTCCAAAAATGCTTGTGATGAGAATATATTTAAATAGAAATCAAGAATTTTTAATGTGACTGATGTTAAGTGACTGGTAATAAATAATTCTATTTGGGTTTGGTATGTCTTAGACTTTGAAGAAGCAGCAATCCCTTCTAATCAAATTAAAGCAACAAGCTCAGGGACAAGCTAACTAGGTAGCCAAAAAAGCTCAGGCATTCTTACTGAGTGTTGTCAGAGGACAATAGATTAACAAGCTGCCTCAGCCAAGTAGAATTCATGGAATGACACAAAAAGAGGGGCACATGTTTATTACATGCTCTGACCAGGGTATATAAGCCTCCTTCTACACATGCTGGCATTCACACTCAGGATCTTGCCTGAATAGCAAATCAACTCACCACTCCTGACACCATGAGTTACTACGGCAGCTACTACGGAGGCCTGGGCTATGGCTGTGGAGGCTTCGGTGGCCCGGGCTATGGCTATGGCTGTGGATGTGGCAGCTTCTGCAAACGGGGTTATGGCTGTAGCTATGGAGGCTACGGATATGGCTGCTGCCGCCCATCATACTATGGAGGATACGGATTCTCTGGCTCTTATTAAATGAATTGTTGAAATTGGAAGCAGAGGAGAAACCTCCAAATGTGTTTGGTCCTGTCCTGTGCTTGCATTCCAGAAAATCCATTCTGTTGTCTTCACCATCAATGGACAGATATTTATCAATGGTTAAGCTGCTTCTATGAATACTAGTTGTTTTTTTACTTTCGGAATCCGTCACCTGAAATCCTATTCATGTATAGCCACTCTAGTTTGTTCTCCTAAATTTGCTTTGTTTTTCTTACCACCATTACCATCATGTTATCTATCAAGATCCTAGCAAAAACTTGTATTTTGCTTTTATCTAATACATGAATTAAAGTATAAATATTTTGGTTCTTTTCAATGTTTTCATTGTTATTATTTAACATTTTATTTTGCAACTACTATAAAAAGTTTACTTATGACGCAGTGAGATCTGTGGCTCCATAGTGGAATGTGATGAAAATCTTCCTAGTTCACCATGTTACGGAAGCTTGAGAACAAGTAAGAGATCATATTAACAAGAGATAAAAATAACTTGCCCCTGTCTATTTACTTAGGATGTCAACCCCTCTCAAGTGTCCCTCAAGTGTTCCTGGAATCACTAAGGACAGTGTCATTCTCATATTCTGCTGTGTAACATTGTTGTTAGCTGAATGTCTTCTTGGTACCACTGTTCTGGCCAGGCATGTCTTTGCTTTTTTTCCACCTTCAGTTGAGGTTGTGGAAAGGAGATTGGGAAGTTTCACTCATTTCCTAGTCAGAACTACACTTTGTATTTAGCGTCTCCCTGAAGGCCATTGTCCCATATTTGACTGATGCAACTCCCACCGGAATGTGGCACTGAAACCCAGTGGTACAATGCTGCACAAAAAATTGGAGGTAGTTTGCAAATGTGTTCTCCAATTCTGTGGGTTGCCTCTTCACTTTGTTGATTGTTTCATTTGCTGTGCAGAAGCTTTTTAACTTTATGTGATCCCATTTGTCCATTTTTGCCTTGATTGCCTGTGCTTACTGGGTATTACTCAAGAAATGTTTGCCCAGACCAACATCCTGGGAGTTTCTTGTGTTAAGTGAAATAAACCAGGCACAGAAAGACAAATGTCACATGTTCTCACTTATTTGTGGGATCTAAAAATCAAAGCAATAGAACTCATGGAAGTAGAGAATAGAAGGACAGTTACTAAGGTCTGGGAAGGGTATTTGGGGAGGGAAGTGGGGCTGGTCAATAGGTGCAAAAAAAAATAGAAAGAATAAATAATGACAGTACTTGATAGCACAACTAGGGGACTATAGTCAATAATAATTCAATTGTACATTTTAAAATAACTTGTAGAATTGGATTGTTTGTAACATAAAGGATAAATGCTTGGGGACAGGGCTACCCCATTTTCCATGACGTGATTATTACACTTGGAAAGCCTCTATCAAAATATCTCATGTACCTCATAAATATATGTACCTACTATGTCCCCACAAAACTCAAAAATTAAAAAAAATAAAATAAAAGAAAGAAAATTGGGGTAAGCCGGAGGGGTGCTTTCTGACTTTTTTTTTGTTGCACCCTATTAGAGGCTCTTAATAGTCTATATAGCTTGTTGTGAATAGGTGATGACACAAAGTCACATGAGAATAATACACAGGAGGCTTTACTGATAAGAGCCCTTCTTGGCTCTCAACTCTGGCTTCATTTCTCAGTCAAGTTCAAGTAGCCCGGCTCGTTTTTCTCTAGGAATTTATTCTCATCCAAAAAAATTCTTCTGTTCCTTTCAGCCTTGTTTTACAAGTTCACCACCCTTAGCCAGGCATCTTGGAACACCAACAGTAAACACAGAACCCTCCTCTGCTATGTTTTTCAGTCAACTTTCAAAGTAGTGAAAGAAGCCTGTTTCACCAGTTTGTCTGACATGACGAGGCATGTCTGAATCCGCTTATATTCAAATTTGGACCCCTACTATTTATCCTAGAAAATCTTTTTATCCTCTTGTAAATCTAGAAGAGGAACACTATTTTATAAACGATTTCTCATAGAAAAAGTGTTACCTTTTTGTCTACACTATAGTTTCGATTTCAAATTTAGAAACTAAACAGTGGATGCAAAAAAATGGAGAGAAGAAAAGAAAGAAGAAAGAAATCCAAAAACAAAGAAAAATGCATAGTTTAAAGGCCCAATCACATTTAGAACACATTCCATGTTTTATGTTATTTTTTTAATTGACTCAATAATGGTATGTATTTATGGGGCACAGAGTGAAGCTTTGATATATATTATGTATAATAATCAGATCAGGATAATGAGTATGGATAACTGATCTTTTATGAAGTTGAAATGAGAACCAGATATAATACCTGTCCAAGTGCTGTTAAACTGAAAGACAGTGATTCAAAGACCCTCCTGCAGATACCCTTTGCAAATACTTAATTTTGCTAGTGAGGTTTTGTAATCTAAGGTTTAGTATGTTCTAAATTCCTTGGACAAAATAGAAGAGTTAATTAATTATTAATTAAGCTGATTTTTAGCTTTAGCTAATTATTTTATGTTCTAACCAAAAAGAGCAGGAGAATAGCCTCTGTAGATTACAGGAACTATAGTTACTATTCTGTATGATTTCTATCTTTGATTTTTTTATTGTCCTTTGTCAACTCTAAAACTGAACAATGTGTGAATTAGTCTGCATATTTATATTTTCTCTATAAGGTTTGTAAGTATATATAAAGCTTCCCTTTATAAACATATAAAAAATGGTGGCTGCTTTTAGAGAACAATTATTTAGAATGTACAATATGTGACTAGTCAACCTAATTTTCTCCAGACAGACATTATATATCCTACTAAAGATGACCTTGTAGACAAAAAATCTGTTACCTTTTTACTACAGCACAGTTTCTATTTCACATTTGAAAACTAAACAAGGGAAGCAAAAACAACAACAAAAATCATCCTCATTAGGTTTAAGTGCTGGCCTGACTTGAAGGTCTTTTTGATTTCCGATCTGAACAGTCCAGGTGCTGTTAAATTTGATTTGTACCCAGATATAATTTGTGATGCTCCTGAATGTCATGGCTTTTAAAAGTATATTGCAAAAGATGTTTTTATTCTTTGTTAGATTGTTAAAGAATTGGAAGCTGGGAACGTGAAAGATATTTCTAAATTGTAGTCACTAAATAGTTCTGCTGGGAGAACTGAATTTTTGTAGATGTTTATTACAATATATCAGTAAGACAACAGAACATGCAATTCTTCTGAATGCAAGTAGAGGGGGAATTTCCTGATGAAAACTATAGACTCTAATTTTGAGGAAGGTATAATAGTGTCACGTGTACCTAGACATGCTTGTGAATAGTGATTGCATAATTTAGGATCCAAGATTAATGTTAAAGGATAGAATTGGAGAATGAATAATTTCTTGAAACATGGATACAAAAAGTAAAATTTCTTTCCTCTACCAAAAAAAGGTTTTCCAGACATAATAATCATAGTCACATCTTATTACTGCACTCAGATTGGTCACAGAAAACTCTAATAAAGCAAATCAATATAAAAACTCTTTAATCAATGAAAAATGCTCTATCAATATGAAAGATCAATTGAATCAATATTGTATTGGATATGTGTATAGAATAAAAATTCAGGATACCTGAGCAATTTGGTAATCTGAATAAAAGTATTTCCTTTCATTGGAAATATGTTTGACAAACATCACTGCTGACCTCTGAAATTTAGAGAACTAGGTTGCAGCTATGAATCCATCTATGGTTTGAGCTACGAACTTGGAGATTCTGAGGCTTAATATTGTTATATATTTAGTTATGTTTCTGCCAAGCACCTTATGATGGGTTGTAGAGACAATGTGGATTCTATTGTTTAATTGGTTGACAAGGACACTGTGATCGCTTCAGCCACTCAAGTCAGAATATGGAGAGGCTTTGCATGTCTCTTCTGTCATCTCCATAGCCAATTGGTAGCTATTTTGTGCTATCTTCTTAATAGATACATAAAACTTATAATTCTTTATAAATATATTCAATTTCATTTTACCTTTTATCCAATGCTCGTGGTCACAATTTGCCACTTGGATTATGGCTGCACCTTCTCATCTATTCCTATCTGATCTCTGAAACTCAAAACCTGCTACCTTTCTTTAGTCTCTTTGTTTAAAGTTATTTGTTTAAAATGGCTCCTAATAGCTCTCTCTGGGATGACACATAATGCTGCTATTATGATGAGAACAATGAAGTGCTCAATATGCTGATATGGAAGGAAATTTCATTAAAAGACATGACACAGAAGAGCCTGGACCATGCAGTTGGCTCATCAGGTATGATATGATACTTAGCAAACACCGACTGAATTAAAATGTGTATTTACCTAAATGATCCATAATCTTGTTAAATATTTGCCTTTATAGTAGCTCCTCCCTTACCTTGCTCTTCACTTCTCATAAAGAGTTCCTACTCACTTTCAAAATTTAACTTAAGGGATTGCTGGGTCAAATGGTATTACTGGTTCCAGATCCTTGAGGAATTGCCACACTGTCTTCCACAATGGTTGAACCAATTTACACTCCCACCAACAGTGTAAAACCGTTCCTATTTTTCCACACCCTCGCCAGAATCTGTTGTTTCCTGACTTTTTAATAATTGCCCTTCTAACTGGCGGAAGATGGTATCTCATTGTGGTTTTGATTTGCATTTCTCTGATGACCAGTGATGATGAGCTTTTTTTCATGTTTGTTAGCTGCATAAATGTCTTCTTTTGAGAAGTGTCTGTTTATATAATTTGCACGCTTTTTGATGGTTTTTTTTTTTCTTGTAAATTTGTTTAAGTTCCTTGTAGATTCTTGATATTAAACCTTTGTCAGATGGGTAGATTGCAAAAATTTTCTCCCATATACCCAGAGGATTATAAATCATTCTACTATAAAGACACATAATCACGTATGTTTATTCCAGCACTATTTACAATAGCAAAGACTTGGAACTAACACAAATGCCCTTCAATGATTGACTGGATAAAGAAAATGTGGCACATATATGCCATGGAATACTACACAGCTAAAAAAAAGAATGAGATATGTTTTTTTAAGGGACATGAATGAAGCTGGAAGCCATCATTCTCAGCAAACTAACACGGAAACAGAAAACCAAACACAGCATGTTCTCACTCATAAGTGGGAGCTGAACAATGAGAATACGTGGACACACGGAGGGGGACATCACAAACAGGGGCCTGTCGGGGGTGGGGAGCAAGGGGAGGGAAAGCATTAGGACAAATATCTAACACATGCAGGGCTTGAAACTGAGATGTTGGGGTGATGGGTGCAGCAAACCACCATGGCACATGTATACCTA